TTGGCGGAGCCGTCAGAGCTGGAATCATGAGGCCTGATGAATGTGTTCTGCACATAACTCAGTGGAGAGGACACCACACTGGGAGCAGCAAATCTGGCTGGAGAGCTAGGCTGTTGGGCCGGGGCTTCAGGCTCCGGCCTGAGCATCTGGGGAAGAAATGAACCTCCAGAAGGAAAGTTTGATGATCCAGAACTGCCACTGGGGCTCGCGATAGCTGCGTAGGGATATTTGTAGTCTGGACAAGACAGAGTCAGGAATAAGCTTTGGCTTGGGAGCAAACTTGTAGTCATGAAACACTAAAAAGGAGTAGCAATTAATGGTTTAACAGAATTTTGATTTTCTAAAGTCAGAACTCAATTAAGTTTGTAGCAGTTTAACATTAATGAGGATCAGGAACTATGGAAGCAGAGGAAGTTTTCACTCATGAAACCACCTGAAAACTCAAGAGTAAATGTGTTGCGTGTTAGCTAGTTACATTTTTAAAACATGACCATGAAACTTAGTTACATTTGTTCTTGTGCATTTGCTTTGAGGTCCTTAAAGCTTAAAAAAAGCAAAAAGGGTATAAAATGAAGAATTGAAGTTACCTCCTTTTGTTGCAGGAAAACCAGCAGCAATGCTTAACAGCAGACAGATCCAAGAAACCCTGAAACAGTGAGATAAAGTTACTGCTGATCCTAAATGTTAGATTGTGCTGGAACTTCAATGATTGTTAGGAAAAGTTTATAAAATAATATATATATTCAACTTACCTTAAAGTGAGGCCCAGCATCATGTTTGACTGTAACACCACAGTTGCACTTCAGCAGTTTGTCCTCAGCAGCCTGGTGAAGGGGGAAGATTGAAGGTCTGGTCTGTCAGCTGAGTGGAGCTGCTCTGGTTTTATACTGGAGCTCCTCAGGGTCTCTGCTCTAATTACACTCATTAACAACACCTGGAGCCCAATCAGGCCCCAATCAAAGAGAGAAAGAGAGAGACAGAGAGAGAGACAGAGAGAGAGAGGTTGCATCAAGATCATCATGTTTTATTCTGACCTTTTATTGTGTTTAACTTTTTTATCTTTTATCTGAATCACTGGATTCTCATTTGTCTTTAAACTTGCTTTTATTTTATCTTGTTTTTTTTCTACAACATCTGTGATGAACTTTATTTTTGTATTTCTGTCCCTCAGATACATTTTGTGGAGCAAAAAGTATTTAACTGTAAAATGTTGTGTGTTGAACATTGCAACGTTCTTGGCTGCACAAAGAACTTCACAATAAAAGAGAAAAGCAAGGAATGAAATTCAGACAATATATGTATATATAAATAAAATAGATAAGCAACAGGAGAGAGTCAGGAAGCCTTCTTTAGTTTTAAAAGAACAGTTTAAATAGTAGATTAATTTAAAATATTGTACTTTTTATTCCATCACATTTCCCTGACAGTTTTATTTACTTTTCAAATTAAAATTAAAATTACAAATCAAAATGATAAACTTATACAATACAGGTGAACAACACACTGGATCCCAACATTTTAGCCTTGTGCTTCCTTGCAGATTCACTTGCAGAGTGTAGCTTGTCTTTGTCATGTTATAGATGTGTATGAGTTTGTTTGTGTTGTGATTTTTCATTTTCATTGTTTCACTCGTCACTGAAACAAAGAAGAAACAAAGAAAAACATCCTTGTAACTTGAATTCTTCCAAAAGACAAACATTTTCTGTTGGGGTAAGTGGAGCTGTGGTTCCTCGGGCGGCCATTTTTTTGAAAAAAGTTTTAATTTTCCCAGAATTCATTGTACCACAGTCTGGTTGAAGATAGTCAAGAACTAAACTGCGTTCTACAACGGATGAATTCAGACTCAGTCTATCTGAAGTCTGACTGTTATATCTATAGACACAGTCAAAGTTTGTCTTTGTGAAACCAGCTTCTGAACTATCAGGAGAATGTGCAGTAGGTATATGACACTTTCAAATGACACATTTCTTTGTATTATAAAATCCTGTAGCCCAATACTAAATAATTGAGCCCACAGGTCATCTCAAAGAGGGAAAATCTCTAGCGCTGCCTCTGACAGTCACATGACTCCTACTGTTGCCCTCCTGTGGAACTCATCAGGATGAACACTTGTGAAGACACACACTGCGCATCCCATAAAATCTGTATTAAATCACACACACAATGATTCTCCACCAGTAAATCTCCTGCTGACAGTCACACCGCTGCCTCGGTGTTTGAAGCTTTTGTTCCACTTGTAGCATCGCTGCTGCTGTGAGGTCGAAGGTCAGGGAGCAAAACAGACAACAAACACGAGAGCTGTTTCTAACACACACTCCACTTTCATCTCCGGGAAGAAGAAGGCTGGGATTGTGCTGCAGCCTCTTTCATTCGCTCTCTGAAGTCACTTCAGCTCAGTCTCATACAACATCGGCTTTTAAATGACGGACTGAGACACTGGAGAATAAACACTGCTGTTATCCTCTCGGTGATGTTCAAGTCGTCCTCAACATAAATCTCACCACACTGAGTCTGGAACATAAGACCATTCAACTTATGTTTGGTAAAAAAAAATTTCTGGCAAATACTTGCACCACACGTTGTTTTTCTTCTGGCTCATTTAAGGCCCGGTTTCTCAGGCCGAGGATCCAGGTAGATGTTGGGCCAGAAGTTTAATTTTTTTGCATCCCCATTTTGAAAATATGCAGACGAACATGTGGATGGAAACCGACTCTGTCTCCGCCTCCATCAAATGTCATCCTCTGTGGAACATGAATGTGTGCACAAACTTTCATAACAACCCATCCAGTGGTTGTTTAGATATTTCAGTCTGGACCAAAGTTGTTTGCTGACAGACCAACATTAGCATCCACAGAGCCATGAATGTTTGCTATTGTTCTCACGATTTGCGGACCTCCAACATGGTCGCTGGTCCTCTACAGTTTCCTAGCAACAGCTGGAGATGCAATTGGCGCTTCAGTTTGGCATTTGTTGAGTGGCACTGGCCAAGAACCAGCAGATGAAACCCGTGTGAAGAACCCTGGCGAGGAGCCCGAGGAGGGCTGCCTGAGATAATCCAGCAACCTTCAGCTGGACCACACTGAGACACTCACCACAGTCACTGTCAGACCTTTACAACACGATCCAGTCTCAATGGACTCAAACACTCAAACCAGCGCATCTGATCTGAGCCTCCGCGGACTCCACCGGAGCTGGACGAGCACTCAGATGGAAGCAGCCCGCAATTACCTGAAGGGCCAATTAAATACTGAAACTAATGATGTAATTGTTATTAATTATCCTTCCTTGTCCTATTGGCTGTCTTTAACATATCAAAGGCAGGTTCAGTGAGAGCTGCGGGACAATGACTGAGTGAACCTGAACACTCACATCAAACAACTGTGGTTCAAAATGTCACTGCTGCTGACAATCAGCTAGAATCTGTGAGTATAAAGCAGGGGTTAAATTCTAATGTTTAACTTGTAAATGAACACCTAGACTTGGGAGGTATGGTTGAAACTAATATCCATATACTAGTAAGAATATTTTGGCAATCATCACTGCAGAACTCCCTTCAGAATCTTCATGTTTTTAAATTTTCTGCAGTATCACAGTGATACGATGACAGTTGTCTGTACACCCAGGGGTGCACTGCAGACAGGAGCTCCTGATAGCTAATTCAGCTACTTTTAATTGTGCCAAAATGTAAACAATTACAGAGAAACACACAAGCAAACAAACAAAAACAGGGGTTTGAGGAGGGGCAGTTGTCTCAGTTTTGTCTGATGGTGACTTTATTGGAAGTAGATGCAAAATTAAGAACTAAAATAATGAAACTGATGTTCTGTGCAATTTACTGTCTCCAGCATTTTTTAATATATCAGACAAAAATCTTGTTTTTGTTTCTTGTGATTATAAATTAAATTAATTGTTGACTTCTAGTTGTACCCAGCAGTTTATGGAGTCATAGGAGTGCCATAAAAAGAATAAGAAATTAATGTGGAAATATAAACAGGAATAAACAAGTCAATTTAAAAATGATGAAATATGAAGAGAAATATTTGAAAGAAAAAAATAAATGCTTTCCCCCTTTTGCTGCCTAAGCAATAGGGGGAGACAGATATATTCTTTCTTTCTTTTTGGTACTCCTATAACTCTACAGCAGCTGTCCTGTCCAACAGGAAAATGTCACATCACTGTATTGATCTGTTAAAGCTTGTCAATCAGATCAATAAACATGTCTTTTAAAGATCGATCACAGGTTCGTTAATGTTGACTTATTTATTTATTTGTTTTTATTTGATGTGTATCAGGCTATGTAACCTATTAAAAAGCTGAAATCCAATGACACGTATTTTAGTTTTCAGCAGAAATACAATATTTGATTTGTAACAGATCTGGATGATGATGAGCAGAAAGTTCAGATGTTCTCACACTTTAAACTTGATGAGGTTGAACTTCAAAACAGGCAGATGGAGTGGAGGGTAAAACACCGTATAGAGATGTAACAGAGAAGTTTTAATATGGATCACAGCAAAACAAAACAATATACAGTTCTGCTGTGAGAAAGTATTGATCATCTGCAGCTCATAATTTGTCCTTTTATCTCTGCTGACATTTACAATCTGCTCCTTGTGAAAAATACTCTCCAAACAGATAAAAGTTAGAAGAGTGGTTCCCAACCTGCAGGTCCAGACCCCGAGAGAGGCCCCGACATGAGTCTGAAGGGTCAGAAGACGGTGAGAGGGAAAAGAACATTTGTTACCTCAAATCATTTCTCTGGAAATTCTTTAAATGAAACAATAAAAACTCCAAATGTCATCTTCAAAACAGTTGGGAACAACTGGTTTTAGGTCATTTTGGCATCATGTGTTTAATAGCGTCATCAACAAGAGGTCAAAGGTCACCCACTCACACCCCTGTGCACTACTGTGCATGATATGGAGAGAGGCCCAAAACTCAACAGGGCCCCTGCCTCATGCAATAAAATTGGTATTTATTGTTCCAGGGGTCCAGTGAGCTCACAGGTCCTGGATTTGACCCGGGATCACGTAACAGTCTGTGGGTCCGGACGAGTTGAAGGGCATCATGTCTAAAGAGATCTCTGCCTCGCACTCATACTGCAGGATGGCGGGAAGCAGCGGGTTCCTGTGGTTCCGGGATTCGTCTGAAATCACAGAAACTTTGTCGAAGTTCTGCTCCAGGTCTCTTCCTCCTGTGTGGGGGGGCGGCGGCGGCGGCGGTGGCATGCAGGTGGCGAGCCTCTGCGCCCCGGGCCCCAGCATGGCGCAGGCCTCCTTCTGCATGGTGGTGTCGTGGTGATAGGACACCAGCTCGTTGCTGAAGTCCACCGTCTCCACCGTGGAGCTGGAGCAGTATTTGTTGCAGCCCAGGATGGTGGAGAATGCCTTCCTGAAGTCGGCGTTGAAGGCGTAGATGACCGGGTTCAGAGAGGAGTTCGCCCAGCCGAACCACACGAAGATGCTGAAGGTGGTGTCGCTGACGCACGGCTCTCCGACTTTGTCCAGGTGACAGAAAGGAACCACACAGTTCAGGACGAAGAACGGCAGCCAGCAGAACACGAACACCCCCATGATGATGGACAGAGTCTTTAAAACTTTCGTTTCTCTCTTAAAAGATGTTTTGAGCGAACTTTCGTCGTGCGTTGACGAGCGGTGGCGGTGGTTTTGCGCACGGGACCCCGCCGCCCTCTCCAGAGAAGAGATCCGTCTGATCTGGGTTTGCGCGATGCGGAAAATGCGCGTATACGTCCCCACCATGATCACCACGGGGATGTAGAAGCTTATGAGGGACGAGGAGATGGCGTAAGTCCGGTTCAGGCTGGCGTTGCAGTCGTCCGGGTTGTCCGCCGTCAGGTTGTCCGCGTCCGCGCGGTGCCAGTTGAGCTGCACTGGGATGAAGGAGATGAGGATGGAGAGAGTCCAAGCGACACCGATCATCAGGAAGGCGAACCTGCGCGTCATCTTGCGCTCGTACTTGAACGGGCTGGAGATGGCCCAGTAGCGGTCCATGCTAATGATGCACAGGTTGAGGATGGACGCGGTGGAACACATGATGTCGAAGGCGACCCAGGTGTCACAGAAGCGGCCGAAGAGCCAGATGCCGGCGACCTCGGACACCGCTCTCCATGGCATCACCAGCACGGCCACGAACAGGTCGGACACCGCCAGAGAGATGACGAAGGAGTTGGTAACTTTGGAGCGCAGGTGGCGGAACTTGATGACCGCGGCGCATACCAGAGTATTACCCAGCAGGGTAGAGACGATCAGGACGCACAGGACGCAGCCCGTCAGCGCGCGAAGGCTGACACCTCCACCAGGCCCGGGGCTGTCCGCTCCCGCTGTGACCACCTGGAGCCGGTCCCGATGGTCCTGGTGGAGATTTTGGGTCTCGTTGTAAACGCTCTCCATGGATGGCCAGAGTCACTCCCTCGGTGCCATGTTCCTCTCTCCACCATCGCCTGCAGCGTCTCACCACTACACTCTCTGCTCCTGTTCCCAACACGGAGACAAGAGGAGGAAATCCACCTGTGGTCCCGGGAGTCTCACAGGGAGGTGATCCTGCACGAGACGCGCTCACTTCATCCGGTTCCTCCGCCGCTGTCAGACTGACTGAGGCAGCAGATGGCGACCCTCAGCGCCTAAACAGCCTAAAGTATATTTACCTCCTCTCAGCCTTTAACATATTCCATTACAGCATATTAATTTCATTGTCTCCTGATCAGTTTATTCATTGATCTTAATCTTTAGAGATTTACAATCAGAAGACTTGGAGGATAAAGACATCAAAACATCTCAAATGATAAAACTAAACAGAATAAGAGAAAACTTTCCTCTGTAAACTCAAATCTTCAAATAATTAATGAGACTGATGATTGAGAGTCTGAATAATGCAGCAAATAAATATTAAAATAAAGTATCTATCTATCTATCTATCTATCTATCTATCTATCTATCTATCTATCTATCTATCTATAGGAACAGGAAACTGCAGGACAGAAAAGCAAAAAACAGAATTTACATTAAAAAAAAAAAGAAAAAAACTTTTGTATGCAAAAGCCCAAAACAAAGAGGAATGGATGGATCTGGGCCGGGGGCCAATGAGAAGTTTCTGTCTGTCAGAGTGAAAAATCCTCCACAATATCAATTTTGGGAAGAAAAACTTTTAGTTGATATTTTATTGGTTTAAGGTGTTTGAGACAGTTTCATGAAAGTCACTCAGTGGAGAATGTAATTGTCCAGAAATGCATTTATAGATATGAACTTTTCACCTGACAGTAATGAAGTTTAATTAAGTTTCCTATTAGATGAATATATATATAAATATATATATTTATGTAACATATGTCTACAATATAAACATACACCACATATTTGTATGGGCTGGACATATATGTCAATATATGAAATTAGTCCAACTTCTAATAGGTTTTATATATAATTTTACTTATATTACCAGTCAAAAGTTTAGACACACTTGAATGGGGAAGTGTTTCCAAACTTTTGATTGTTTTTGTATATGTTTTTATTTATATGTACATATATGTCATATATGGAAATTCATTAGGCCTATATGAACATATTTTAGATTTGCTTATGTGTTGCCACAATGACACAAGTTTTACTTTGAAACTGTCACAAATTTATTGTTAGTCCTATATGACATTCAACATTACAAAGGACACACACATTACTAACAATCAGAAACATGTAAGTTTAAACATGACACTTCACAGCCACCGTGTTTTAGTTTGGGTAAATAACACAACAGTCATATAAAAAAAACCAACACAAACACTGGGTTTGATTGATGAGCCAAGGTGACACAATTTTGCACCTGTATTGATTTATAAACTTTATATTCACAGATGTAAATGTTCCTATAACAGTTTGTTGTGTTTGTCACCAGAACTCCAGCACAACAACACGCAGGATGAGGAGGAGTCTTCAGAGCAGCAGTGACAGTGAAGGAAGGTAAACTCTGCCCTCTAGTGGACAAAGGCTCACAACACACCATCAGCAGCACAACACACGAATACTGATTTCTGTTATGGGACAGTTTTACATTTCCACATGTCCACATCTAAATCCTTAGAATTTTTTACATGTTTAAAAAATTTGACAAAATCTTGCCCCTACTCTATAATTTCTACATGATGGAACGGTTAATGAAATACGGCACACACAGTGTAAAAGTTGGACATTGATATTATTCCCATAAAAGTTTGTGGTATAAGTATATTTTTCTGTGTGTTTTTTCTCACTGTAGAGAGATGTAAACCTGCTCTGTAACCTGATTAATCCCTTATAAAAACTATATTGCTAAATTCACACGGAGTTAGGCCAGGTGTGGTTTTGAGAAGGTGAGGAACTCACATGAAAAAAACAAAACACACATGAGCACATGTGGTTTTTATTTTTATTTTTATGGGAGCACATTTCTGCCATGAAAATATAAAAAAGGAAAGAATCTATGAATGAAAAGAATAAAAATACACATATAAAACATATTGTTTTTATTTGTTAAGGAAAAGCTAATGGGTCTCAGTACTTCCTCCACCACTTTCTTTCATTTTTAATTTTTTTTTTTAACTTTTTGTTTAACTTATATAATCTACACTGTCTGTTTAACTTTGCTTTAGTTATTATTAGTGTTATAAGCTCTATTACATATATTTTTAGCTGCCTTTTTTTATTTATCTTATCTCTTATCTTACAAGTATGTTTACATGTATATATTATTTATTATTATTTGTATTTATGTATTCATTTATTTAGTGTCGTATTGCTTTATGTAGCTTTTTTGTTCAGTTAAATTTTTACATTAGATTCATGAGTCTGGGCATGAAAGGGTTATGTTTACAGTGAGGGGTGACGTCAGTGTCAGCTGTGTGTGTGTGTGTGTGTGTGTGTGTGTGTGTGTGGATGATTCAGCAGCAGCAGCAGCAGTAGTCAGTCAGTCGTCAGTCTCGTCTTCATGTGCAGCACAGACAGATCTCAGGCGGACAAACGGCTTTACTTTGGCTGTTTTTTTTTTACTGCTAACAGGACACTAACAAAAATAAAGGTAAACCCGCACAGGTGTTGAATTATCTGTGGGAGACCCCGTAGTGTGGGGAAGTGTTTGGCTCGTACAGGCCGGAGAGCAGGAGCAGAGCGCCGCAGAGAGGTTGCCGCCGTGTCCTTCTATCGGCTCCCGGTGGATTTTAACGTCGTTTATCGGGACTGTCGCTGTATGTTGTCTTTCATCAGAATCTCTCCTGACGGATTTAACCTGAACACATCCTCACTGACGTCCAGCTGCTTTCATTCAACCACCTCAACTTCGACATTTCCGCATTTTGACGACTGATGCTTCGTTTTCCCGGCAGGTGAGTCTGAGTCTGTTCGTGTAGAAAAAAACAACAAACTGAGAAAATATCTGCGTTTAACGTCACTTTAACACACACGTTCATTTATAGTGACACACACACAAGTAACATCATACACATTAACCTCCACTTATATAACACGTCACAAAGGGGACAGATACACCTACTCACTGCTAGCTAACTGAATGAAAATTGACGGTTTTCTCAACGAGGTTCTGAATGACAGTTAACCATAGTTACCAGTACGTTTGTGGTGCATGTTCAGTGATCGTGACTTTGTATTACTATATGGTGTCTTTTTAAAAAATATATAATATTCTATACATATCTAGAATATTTGAAAATATATGTAAGTACAACACAAACCACATAATAGATCCATAGAAATGATCACCAGTGACTATCTGTTTATAAAAAAGACAGTACATATAATTTTAGTGATATAATTATACTTTTGAACATGTATTCTGTTGAAATCACTGTTTCTAATTTGTCATGAGCCTTTTATGAATATTAATGGTGGTAAAAATTATTGTTATGTTTCAGCGGAAATCGGATCGGTTAATAACAATAACTTTATTTATAAATAGTTTTACAAAGTGCTTTGACAAATAAATCAAAAGCAATGACAGAAATAAGTTGAAGTTACAGAGGGAATAATAATATAAAATAATATAATTCAATATAGAGAAGGACAGTAAGAGGGAGCAGATGTATAAAAAACACAATCCCTTAACTGATCACAGGAAATTAATCAGCAACTATTTTGATAAGTAATTTTTAAAGCAAAAATGTCCAAACTGGTTTCAACTTTTCTAATATGATGATTTGATGCTTTTCTTTGTCATTTATGGCAATCAACTAAACATAATAATTAGAAGATTCCACCTTTATATCGGACATTTATCACTGTTCTTAAACTTTATAGACAAATTGATTAATGGATTAATGAAGGACATAATCTGCGGATCAATCAATAATGAAAATAATTAGTCATGTTCTAATCTATAATATTTATAGAGACTGGGTGTTTGTAGATTCTGTGCATGTTATAGATGTAAATACATGCATAACTATTATAGCTGCAGCTAATGATTGTTTTCATTAATCATTTAAGTTAAAAAGCTCCAGAAATAAGAGAAGAAATAAAACTTGATTAAAACTCATTGATTTCTTGTCAGTTGTATAGTTGTGTGTTTACTGTCTTCTAGTCTGGTTCTACTGTGGTTATGTTTTAATAGAAGTCGTCAGAGTTGTGTTAAAGTTCCCACAGACCTGATGATCTAGAGACATTGTGAGGAACCGTCCTGAGGCTAATGACTGTTTTCATTCCTCATGGGACCATCCACATTCCTCACGTCTTTAGCCCCATTGTTTCCATCCTTCAGCTCCATGTGCTTCACTTCTTCAGTTCCACCGGGTTCTTTCTAAAGGATCGCTGCCAGCTGTGTGTGATGGAGAACGTCAGCCAAGCATAGAACCTGGTTCTCTGTGTTGGTGTTGGATGCTTTTTATCTCTGCACCACTTTGTTCCAAACTTTAGATCATCTGGGTTTTGTTCTTTTGTTTTTTTCTTACCTTTTAATTTTCTTTTCACTCATTGTCATTTGGTTCTGTAGGTTATCTTTGGCTCCACTGCTTGTGTTCTGCAGTTTGGGTTTCATTTGGTTCCTCAGACAGTCTTCAGGTTCTCTCTCCTGGTTATGTTGTTCTACAGGGTCTGTCCTGTAGTTGTTTTGTTCTTCAGGTTTTCTCTCCTGGTTGTTTTGTTCTGCAGGTTCTGTTTTCAGGATGTCTAATTTTGCAGGCTCTTGTTTGGTTCTGCAGGTTCTCTGCTCTAGATCTTTTGCAAGTTCTGTTTTATTCTCTAGGTTCTGTTCTCTAGTTGTTTGTTCCCCAGGCTCTTTTCTGTAGTTGTTGGTTCTGCTGGTTCTTGGTTCTCTAGTTGTTTGGTTCTCTAGGTTCTGTTCTCCAGTTGTTTGGTTCTACAGGTTCTGTCCTCTGGTTGTTGGTTCTGTTGCTTCTCCAGTTGTTTTGTTC